CTGTTAGACACAGTAAATCAAAAAAAAGTTTGAATATTTATCATCAACAAATTCTACATAAATCCATTATTTTAAAATTTTCAGAATGTCTCTCCTGAAAAAAATATTGTGCTGATGAACGTTTTATTCATCAGCTGATGTTATTTCATGAACAAAACCAAATTAAACATCAAACATTTAGTTACTTGGACTGTTACAAAGCATTGTTGTTCAACTATATATTTTATTGAATAAAAGCACTATAATAAAATTATAAACTGTAGTTGCTTCACTGATTTCAGAGCAACTTCACGCCAGTATTTCTGTCTTTTTAATTATAAAGGCCCTTTTATAAATGGTGAAAGGACTCTTAAGTGAGTTACTTTTGACACCATCCCTGTTTTGTTTTTTACAACCTACACATCTCATCCAGACTTTCAATGGCTTCTTTTTTACTGCAGTTTCTCCATTCATCRGGAATTTCTCCTTTGCCCTGAAATTTCTTTTTATAGCGGTCTTCCAGGTGCTTTTCAAAGCGACAAATGAACCACTTCCAGTAAGTCAGCATGGATGCATCAGCAGTAATGCTCCATGAAGCATATTTCTCTCCGGCATCTGCATACTGTTTAAAGCGAATACTCTCACTTGAGTTATATTCAGGGTGGAAAGTTTTGTCACTTGCAACTAGAGTTGTGCAGAAATCAATGAGTAGATCTATTGTGCCTCTTTTGTAATAGCCTTTAACTCCTGAAGGTCGATGAAAAGGAACACTGTGTTTCTCAGGACTGTGGTCTTTCAGCGTGTTGGTACAAACTGCTGAACAGAATGGGCACTTTTCCCAGCAGCAGTCACACAGCTGATCAATGAGGATTTGGTCAGGTTTCTGCCTGCAGTTCATCACCGCATCCAGGGAGAGGAGGCTCATGTTTTCAGTGACATCAACAAAGTCTTTCTCCAATTCTTCTTTAAGAAAGTCAAAATTGTTGATATCCCTGAAGTTCTGACAGTAAATGGTGTCAAGTGTCAGGTTAGGTTTCAGTGCATGGGAAAACTCCTTCACCCACATGTCTGTGTCTCCGTGGTTCTTTTTGACGTTCTCTGTTGCCTCAAACAACGCTTGACAGACAAATTTGCTAATGTTCTCGACATTTTTCTTCAGAATATTTAGAGCTTTGTCTTTGTATGTTGTGAACATGTATTTCTGCACTTCATCTTTGATAAAAGTTTCAACTTGGTCCCTTGGATTTCTGATGTAGGTAATGAAACTGTTAAAATCTTCTTTCTCTGCGAGCCATGCCAACACATGTTTCTCCAAGTTCAACCTGTTTCCACTGAATGCTGGAACATTGCACCTCATCTCTCCAGCAATTTCAACACCAGTTTTGTTACAGACAGCCTCAAAAGTGGAGACCTTCAAGTTTTTACTCATGATTTCTCCAAACACAACAGCAGTGGAGTTGCCTCTACAAAAACTCCTGAAAATGTTGTAATATTCTGTTTTCTTGCTGTTCAAAACAGTGACTATATCATTGTTATCTCTGTATGTCTTGTGAGACTGTAAAATCCAATTTGCTGCTCTGTCAAACACATACAGTGACAAATCAACTGTAAACTCCTTTTTAAATGTAAATTTCTGCCTCGTCTGAAACTCTGCCACTTTCTTTTGAATATTTTTGGCCACTTCCTGCAAATAAGCTGATCTGTAGCCTCTTGTTGCAACAGGTTTGCTCTCAATGGACTTCAGACAGTCTTGTTCAACATCATTAATGAAAGATCGGATCAGTGTCTGTTGTTCACATGAAGAAAATTTTGCTATCAAATAATTTACATTACCTTCCATGCTCTTTTTAAAGGTTATGTAATGAGTATAATCTCCAGCTTCTGACAAGTCTTTGTATCTCTGACTTTTTTTTGATTCATCAATATGATCCAATTCAATGCCAAGCTCTTGGAGGACAGCTGACTGGTCTTTCTCCAGTTTTATACCCTCTATGGGTTTTGCATTTGATGTTAATTCTTTAACCCATTGACTCCAAACTTTATTGAACTGAAAATTGAGTTTCTCTTCATCTTTTGCAATGCCTTTGAACTGGTGAGCGAGCTCTTTGCTCTGTTGGAGCAGCTTCTCCTCAAACTCTGTCTTCTTCTTGTCAAGGTTTGTACGAGCATTTCTCTGCTGGATAACTTCATCCAGTTTTCTTTGCATTCCTCCTACGAGCTCCTCATGAAACTCTTTGATTTTGGTTTCAAATTTCCCCCGCCACTGAACCAAAATGTCTTTGTCTTTGTCTGTCTCAAAATAAGTTGCAATGTCTTTTTTTATTTTTTCATATGTTTTTCTCATTTCTTCAAAAAGATGGCTGAGCTTCAGATTGTCAAGCTGTCCCTTCTCAGTTCTGAGATAAAGCTGGTTTTCAATGGTCAACATCTCATTCCTCAGGTCCCAAGTCCAGTTTCCATACTGGACCTCAAGTTTTCTATATGTTGAAATTTCTTGGGTGTTTTTGAAACTAAAAACAAAGTGTTCGTTCATCAAGGCATTCCACAGATCCTGGATTTTGTTGTTGAAATGTGACAGAGTTATCCCAGGAGACGATGAGGCCTTAGATAGAATGATGTTCCTCAGTTCTTGGACACTCTCACTATAGCCTGGATTTGGAGGAGCCATTGGAGGACTTCCCTCCCAGAGCTGGCCAAAGTATTTTACATCCTTTTGCACATCAAATGCAATGACATCGCTGAAACACTCTGCATCACACTCCTCCTCTTTGGCAGCAAGTTGAGCCATCTTGTCCAGTTTTTCTTGCAAACGTCTTTTTCCTTCCATATTTTTCTCTGCTGCTGAAATGTCTGCAACATTCTGATGAACAAACACACAACTTGGAGTAAGATTGACTTTCTTCATCCTCATGAACGCCTGAACAACTATCTGCAGGACATCCTGCATCTCAGCTGGATTTTCCCCAAAGATGTTGATCAATGTCATGTTTCCGAGGCCGACAACAAATGTTGCCAGTTCATTGTCATGATGAAGAGTGTTATTACCCTCCAGTTCAAGAGCACGCAGTCCTTCAGTGTCCACAACTAGAACATAATCAAACTTGAAATCTTTCTTGATTTCCTCTGACAGTTCAACCAGCTGCATGTAGGCACCTTTGGTGCACCTCCCAGCACTCACTGCAAACTGCAGTCCAAACATAGCATTCAGCATTGTTGACTTTCCACTGCTTTGTACACCCAAAACTGACAACACAAAAACTCTCTTGTCACCCAGTTTCTTGATGACTTCTTGTAAAAGACTAAAGATCCATATTAAAGGCACATGACCTGCATCACCATCCATCAGCTCCATCGGGTGTCCTGATATCATCAGATCTGCAGCCAGCTCAGGGTATTTAGTCCATTTAGTCTTTTGGCTTTGTGTTTGTTTCTTCTTAGATGTATGGGCTTCATAGATTTGTCCCATTTCTCTAAAGATGTGCTCCAGGCCAAAGGTTGCTGATTGCAGCTTTTTAGACAACTCTTCCAGGTCTGTTTGTTTGTGTCTTAATTTGTCAGATTTGTCATGTTGCTTTTTGAGTTCTAAGACTTCGGACCATACTTCATCATACTTTTGGAGAATTAAAGACAGATCATCTGTAAAGAGGGCATCAATGAGTATCTGAGTCCATTTCAAGAAAAATTCTCTGTCCTTTGGTGGCAAAGTCATGAGACTGTCAGTGAATAACTCCATTAATGTACTACAGGGTTTCTCACTAGAAGCGGTACACTGGTCCTGTCGTAGTTTCATTTGTTGGTCAATTTTTTTGACTTTTTCCTTCTCAATATGTCCTTTGAGATGGTGTATTTCCTTGTTTATTTTGCACCAGTCGTGCCAAAGCTGACCTTGACAAGGGAAAAAATGATTTTTGATGTTGGCAAGATTCTTGTTGTCGATCAGTTTTACTATGTTCATTGCAGCAGATTGTCCCTTTTGGCAAACTGTTTCTTTTTCATCCACTGTGATGCCAGAAACTTTGACCATAGATTCAAGCTTGAAAGAAGTGTGGGGTCCAGACAAGATCTTTACAATAATATTTTTCACTTCTTCTGAAACATCAGACTGGTTTCTGTCTTTTACACCCAGTTTGTATTTTAGTGGTTTCATCTGAACTGCACTGAAGTCCTCATCACCAATAAGAATTATAAGAGGTTTTGAAGACTTGTACAGGGTTGAGATGACTGTACTACTTCCCTGACTTTTCTCCAAAGTTGGCACAAGAATAACTGTGACTGAAGATTTTTCAGTCAGTGTTTCTCGTTGTTTTTCAACTGACAAAGCATCGCCATGAAGATTACAGAAAGCAATGCAGTTTGTAAAGGAATCGTTAGGTTTTCCAGCTGGGCAGTACCAGGCAATCTCTGCCACACCATCCATCAAATGACGAGATTTAGTACTTCCTGGACAGTTTCTGTGGAAGAATGTATTGTGGCGGTCATTGATCAACATGTTCATCAACTGGGATTTAGACACAGACAATGAACCCAGGCGGAAAAATAAAACCATTGGAGTTTCAGCTTTGTAGATAGGCATGCTCCTCATGGTGATGGTTTTTGAATTATTTTTGTTTTCAGTTATCTTCCATGTTTTGGTTATTTGTCTAAATGTCCACAAAGTGCACTCAATATTCATTGTGACAGGATCAGGGACCAGCAAAGGTAAGCCATACTGGCATTGGGACAACTTTGTGATCATTTTCTGTTTAAGAAAGCTGTTTGAACAGTGAAATACTGCCATTTGAACATCCATTGGGTGCACATGTGTCTCTTTATATTGGCTCAACTCCACGCGGGTACTGAAAAGTGCATCTAAGTCATCGTCTGCTTTAACACTGTCAGACACAGAAGAAGCTTGTACATGGCTTAAGTCAGACTGATGTTTTTGCCGTACAGGAATGTATCTGGCTCTGTAATCTAACATCATTAAGCTCTGAAGAAAAGCTTGAGCTAGATCTTTTTCAGAAATGTCTGTCTGTTTCAAAGGTCGACTTATTTTAAGAAAGTCCTCTGGTGATAACTTCTGTTCATCTTTGTTTTGAAAACCAAGTCTTCTGAGTAGCGTTTCTGTTTCTTTTGAACATTTCTTTCTGTTTTCCTCTGAAGAATTACTTAAAGGCTGTAAACAATCAAAAAAAATTACAATTTAATGTTTGGAAAATGCGAACATTTTGTATTTTTTAATCAAGTGAAACAATCAAGTGTCTTACCTTTTTTTTATTTTGACTCAAATCCATACTGAGGGAATCTACAAAAACAATTCTTCAGCTGGCCTTACACATTGATGGTCTAAGTCAGGGGTGTCCAATTCTGGTCTTCAAGGGCCACTTTCCTGCTTGTTTTAGATATTTTTCTGCTCCAACAAACCTGATTTAAATAAATGGGTGATTAACAACCTTCTACAAACATTTTTTTTAATTAAAAATGTTATAAAAAGTTAAAAAAAGAAACTCTTAGAAGCTGGACTAAACAAGAGAACAACAGGTATAGTATAATAAAGAAAATAAATAGTGATGTCTTCAATCCCAAACCCAAAGGCACAATTATTACATATATTGAGGTGTCTAGATACGTTTCATTGTACTCAGCTATTAAGTAGGTTTTTTTTACTGTACTTGTTTGGTTTCAAACCTTCAAGGAATTTTGAATTCCGAGATTTCAGTAATATAGTGTTTTCTTTACTTTTGTCAGGCTTTTAATCACAAACCACATCACACTCCAGCAGGACATATGTAGCATAGTATGAAGATGACTGCTGAAACAGGTAGTCCAGTGCATCCCAAAATTTTCAACATTATCAGTTTAATATAACAGTTAGAAAATGTTTTTTTTTTCATTTGTTTTTGTAGAGGTCATCTCCCACTAAATATAATTTTGGAAATTTTAACCTTTCATTTTAACGCAATACTTACTGCACATTTTATATTAGAAAATTCCCTTTGAGGCTTAAGTAAAATAAATGTCAGATACTTTAACACTGTTAATATTCTTAGAGGAGACTTCGACTTTTACCAAAGTAATTTTAAGATACTTGTTCTTTCACTTAAATATCACTTTGCTGAGCAAGCAACCAAGTTGAGCAGAACATCTACAAAACAGCAATTTCTCAGTACAGGAAAAGGGTCTAGAAGGGAACTATCACAAACACCAGAGGTGTATTTATGGTGATATATATAATATGTGTTGTGATATGGATGAGAAGTATAAGTAGTTGTGTTGAGTAGTGGTGCCCCAACTACAGGTAGACAAAACAGTCACAACTGTCAGATCAAATAATAAGAAAGTCTATGACTCAATACCACATGTCATGGTCCTGGCAGGCTTGGAACTGTATAACACCAACAGGACACCAAAATTGTTAATCAAAAAGTCAATGAAAACCAGACAACTCTAAAGGCCAATTCAAAGTTGATAGTTTAAGTCAACATCAAATGTGGCTTAAACCAAGGCAATATTCACTATTGTTCTGGACCTGAACTCTTCAGTCAGATTTTTGTAAAGAATGGTTCAAAAAGCAATCATCAGGAGTCTTCTCATCATAGATGACATAAAGCTATGTGCTAAAGCTGAGTGTGACATTGATTTATTGATCCACCAGACCACAATTAGATATTATCAAAGTCAAAATTCAGGATAAAACAACAAAAATCCTGGACTATATCAGAAATGTGGTCTTTAGAAATAAACTAAGTGAACTGGAATTTAGAAGACAGAAAATTGAATTACACAGCAATAAAAAAGGGCAGCAAACTTTTATTTGAATTCCTCACAGATTTATTAGCTTGAATTAATATTACTATTTGGTCATACTGGTTCTCTCATTATTGCTGACTTTATGAGATTCTTTGTAAACAAACTTATTTCAGTTAGAGAAATATACCACTGCCAAATACTTCTCACTACTGGTTTATCAACTAGTAAAAACAACTTTATAGATAACAGAAGAACTTATGTGTTCAAACTGTTCCTTGTATTAAGTTTTTACTTGTTAAATTTTGGGTAAAGGGAGCATCCCTGAAAGACTCAGTTGATCACAAGTAAGGATGGGGTGAGGTTCACCACTTTGTGAATAACTGCGTGAGCAAAAAAGTCCAACAGTTTAAGAATATATCATCAAAAGATTCAAAGAATCTAAACAAATCTCTGCAGGTAAACAACAAGCCTGGACACCAACATTGAATGTCTGTGACGTTCATCCCCTGCAGTAAAAACCAACATCATTCTGTAAAGGATATTACTACATGGGCTCAGGAACGCTTCAGAACATCTTTGTCAGTGAACATAGTTTGTCTCCACATCTACAAGTGCAAGTTAAAACTCTATCATGCAAAGCCAAAGCCATAACAACTCCCAGAAACACCGAGTTTCAGGTAAACTCAGCCTTATAAGCATGTGCTTCTACATGGTGGACAAACACATTTAACGATGGTAATCAAACAGTTTGTTCACATGCAAAAGAGGAACATCAGCCTGATGATCATTATCCCTTATGCTCACAGAGAGCTGAGTCATGCTCGCAATAACAGCATTGTAAGAGTAGAACAAGTGGATACGAAGGCCTCCCTGCCCCCGTTTAATGACAGATGTTTTTTCTTCACAAAAATGGCTTCCTTTACTCCTCTCATGAACCAGCGTTCCTCTCTATCACGGATGAGAACATCTTCATCCCTGAAAGAGTGACCACTGGCCTGTAGATGAGTGTAAACTGCAGAATCCTGGCCTGATGATGTTGCTCGTCTGTCTTGGGCCATCCTGTTGAACAGTGGCTGCTTTGTTTCTCCGACGTATAACTAATCACAGTTCTCCTGACACTTAACAGCATATACTACTCTCTTTGTGCCTGGGACAGTGTTGTATAAAGTACCACAAAGTGTTACTTGAGTAACAGTAAAATTATCTTACCAAAAAATAATTTTTGTTAAAGTTAAAGTCTCCTTTAGAAATATTACTTAAGTACAAAAAAATCAGATACTTTAATACTTTTACTCAAGTATTAAAAGTAAAAGTATTGATTTAAAATGAGCAGTTAGATTTTCCGTAATGACATTTATTAGGAGGTGACCTCCCCAAAAAATGGATAAAGAATTTATGTTAAATTCAGGATGCACTGTATCAAGGCTGCACAAACCTTTTCCCCAAAATGAAAATCTATCTGAGGGCTGCGGCCAAATGCAATAATATAATTCATGAAATACAAATACTTCTTAAGTACAGTCCTTTTATTTTAATAACTATGTTCTGTTGGAGTGTGACATGATTTGTTTGTGTACAAACTAATATGGAATCAGAATTTTATATACTGTATTTATGCTTCTCATTCAACCAAAATTAAATTCTCTCTATCTAGGAGGCACAATTTATATGGTTAGTATTTATTTTTTATAATAACAAGCTGGAATAAAAACAAGCAAAAATGACATAAAAGTAACGCCTTTCTACTTCTTGCCTTGTTTAATTTTAGGAGTAGAAATAACAGATAATTGTGAAAATGTAAGAAATAGAAGTAAAAATTAGGCTGAAAAATAATTACTCAAGTACAGTACAGATACCAAAAATTCTACTTAAGTACAATAAAAAAGTATTTGTACTAAGTTACTTTACAGTTCTGGCTGAGGAACTGGATCTTTGGGGTGAACCAGCCTTTGCCGTAATGTGTTTTGGGGTTTGAAAGCTACTGGGACATCATGTTTAGAAAATAAACACCTCAGTTTCTCTGAAACTACTGCAACATGTGGAATGACCAGATGATAATGTAATAATTTCAATATGCAGATATTCATATTACACTTGTCAGAATTGTAAAGAACACATTTTAACCATTCTGCACTTCAACAATATATACAGTAAATTTAAAATTGTATTTGACTTCTAAATGACTTGGATGTTTTTTCAAAAGGGCTATTGTCTCATTTTTATCCAACCAGTTTCTTTTACATGCATGAGATCTTTTTTCAGAAAGACTGCTGTAAGCTTTGAGGTCCGCAGGTGATCTGATTTGTGAGTCACATTTGTCATTACATTAGAAACTTGTTCTTTCCCAAAAACATTTTCCAACCATGTCCTTCCAGAAGTGTAATGACTGATATGCAGACCAAGTGGGTAATGGCAAAGATGTGCTAACCACCCACAGATACAGTCGAGATGAAAACTTTTTCACATTTTTTCATTGTCATTATCAAGTAGGATGTTTTCTGATCCAATCTGAATGGAATTTGGGTCACCAATTAGCACAAGTCATAATTGGCACAGGCATAATTGGAAAAAGGCCATGAAATCTTCAGATTTGAATTGGCATTTTAAATAAATACATCAGAAGAATAAGGCATATGTTACCTTTGTCACCATTTCCTGATGAAGACATGGTTTCAGTCTCCTGTGGTTTTACTATCCTCTCTGATTGTTGAGTGTCAAGAGGATCAGTCACTGCTCATCTGAGATAAAGTGACATTTTAAACACAAATTATTGTCAAGAAATTATTTAACAATATGACAAATACATTTCTGGCACAGAGTACAGGAGGAATAGTCTCAATAATAAAAACACTRCTAATAATCCAAAATATTGAACAAATAATGAACTTGTCTTGATAAAATGAAGAAGCACAAAAAAGTGGTTTTGGAATTTAGGAAAGAATATCTTCAACACAAACCAGTGTAGTCAAGATTTTAAAATGACCTAAACTGATGTTAAAAAAAAGAAAAATGTTAGYAATAAAAACCTCACCTCGTGCTGTGTTATGTTAGCTTTGATCAGTGTACATGCAGGTCTCAGTGCTGTGTTTTATTTGTATTGGAACTTTTATTGTCTGTCTCTAAAAGTCCTCCCATGGCTTGTGATAGGCTGACTTTGTATTCATGGTACCAGTAATTCAACGCTGAGAAAAATTAAAGTGAAAGTTATAAAGCACTGGATACAGCAGCTTTAAAATGGCATCAGCATATATGACTCTAGGCTGCTCCTTTAACCGTAACTGGATCAAATATTTCCGGCTAAACATAATAAGTTACACATCATACTGCTGAGTGAGTTGTTCAGATAAGGTAATTAGGTAATCAGACAGTTTGACTGCTTTATCTATTAAATTTTATTGGTTCCCAGAACCTCCAAATTGTAAGAGAAAAAAAAAGACAAAAAAATTCATCCATTCTGTCTGTTTGAGTAGAGGCTGGAGTTTCCCAGCTGTCTTGTAGAGAAAGGAATGATACACCCTTYACGAAGCTAAGAGCCGTGCACCTTTACACTCACTAATAAAAAGAATCATTAATTAATTATACATTAGTTTTGGACAATGAGAGTAGGCTAAAGTACTCAGAGAATATACATGACAACAAATCCACACAGAGCAGCATTCATTCTTTTTTCACAAGAGGCAACTGATGTTCAGATCCCTTGACAACTAATTTCATACAAACTGGACATTGTTTAATGTCTCAATGCATTTCTCATGTCTTGGATATACATTTTTGTTCTAACATTTAGCACTTTTGGTCCACGTTTGTTGTTGCTTGGATTGATAAGTCACGTAAAAGCTGCACGTTTTGTGAGATGCCTAAGTCTCGTTATTGTTCTCCCATCCTGATGTTTTCATATCCATCTTTGTTTACCTGAGCAAAGGAAACAAGTTTGTTCAGGAACAATTTTGCTTAAGCCAATAGAAAATACAAAGCGTTTTACAGAAGATAGCACTTTTTTACTGTGAGTTTTACTTTATGGCTTTAAGATACCGTCATAATGTCGGTGTTTTTGTCTTCATTTTCTAGTGGTTTTTTTTTTTTTTTTTTGGTTTCCATGTTTCTCTGCCCTCAGCCCCGCCCTCTCTCACCTGTCTCCTCTTGTGTTTCCCCAGGTGTTTCCCATTGTCCCTTAATTTGTTTGCTTTATATTCTGATTCTTGTCTTCTGTCTTTGTCGGATCATTGTTCAGTCYGCCCTGACTGTGTCYGTGTCCTTCCTCCGTGTTTTCTGTAACCTGGACTTCAAATGAGTTTTTTTGCTGCACTGCCAGCCTTTTGATTTGAGTTAAAGACCTTGTTTTCCAATTTTGAACCTGCCTGCGCCCTGGGTATTTTTGCYTGCATAAAACCTGATAGATACATTCCAGGGTGTGAGCACTTTCGAGTACTTTTAAATTCTAAGTTCTTCAACTCAGATTTTTTATATAGATACTGTATTTACACTTAAATATTTTCAAATATATAAATGACAGTTTGCTGAGTATCAAAGTTACATAGTGTTAGATGATACATATTTTTAAAAAATGTCCAATACATATTTATGAAATATATATATATATATATATATATATGTGTGTGTGTGTGTGTGTGTGTATATATATATATGTGTATATATATATGTGTATATATATGTATATATATAAATGTGTATACATATATGTGTATATACGTATATATATATATATATATACATATATATATAATTTCAAACTTTATTCATTCCATAAAAAACAAAAATTCTATGTACAATAAATATCATAGCCACAATGTTGAAAAGACGACTGAGGTCTAAGATCAGGATAAATACTGAATAGATTAATGTTTGTATGAAGAAACAAGAAAAAATTTCATCTTTTATGACTTGAAATAAACTCAGATAATGAATAGTGTTTGGGGTTTATTGTCTACACTTTGAACTCTGCTACTCGTAGATTTCTTCAGTCACTCACTGGTAAAATGTGATTGTTCACTGTATTTTAAAATTATGTCACTTTTAGTTTGTCTGCTGCCTAGCTGTCCACTCCATCTTGGGGCTTTTATAAAGTTAACCACACTGTATATTACTTTGTCGCAAAAACTTGTCTTTACTTTTTCTTTGTGGGACTCCTAATCCAGTTTTTTTTTTTCTGGTCTCCATTTTCCAATATCATGACTTAAATTTTTTTTCCCAAATTTCATTTTCTTCATTCTTGTATATGTGTGAGTTCTGCAAGTCTGCTGAAGCACTTTTACATGCTGTGTCTCCTCTGACTCAGAAGTGATAACGGTCCTTACAGGAACTTGCTTATTCCCAGAAACTGTTTCCAAACACTTCCTTCCACAAGTGCAATGAGTGACATGCAGACCATGTGTAAGCAGCAGGATGAAGGCATGAGCAGACACAGATGTCCATATAGTTTGACGGGTGGGGGTGGGAGTATGCAAAATTAACTTTTTTGAGCTTTATGTTGTGTTAAAATGTCATTCCCTCATCAGAAACATACACAGAGTATTGCTGTTTCAACATTGTGTATGCAAACTGTTTTTATTAAATACAGGGATTATTTTCCTTGTATTGTTACATATACTAGAAAATTTGTATTTTCACATGGTGGGTGTAAGGCTTTCTTTTTGGAGTGTCAGTATCATCTCCTGTTCCTGCAACACTCTGGGTGGGCTATCAGCTGAATTTGGCATCTAGGGGGTGCCACAAATGGGGTACGAAAAAAGATGTATAACTTATCAGAGTATAGTCATAGAATAATCCCAGGTTACTGGTTTATGGAGGTAACTTGCAACTTGAGTTTCTCACCTGCTTTGCTACTACAAGTACAKGAAGTGAGATGATGTAAAATTATCATAYGATGCAGTCAAGACTAACTACTGGTGCTCAGTGCGTAAATAGAAAACAAAATAAGGATAATGAATGTTTAATAATGTTTCAGTTATGATCTCAGATAAAAATCAGGTTAAAGTCTGGTTTTCAGTGTTTAAAATACTGATTTTATGTTTATGTTCAAAAAGAAAAACTAAGTATGTCCTCTGGATGGGTACAGAGACATAGCCCAGAGGACATACTTATTTTTTTCTTTTAGATTTTTCTACCTGGGTTACTGAGATGCATCAGGATATGTTTATGTTGTTTTGTTAATCTCAATTAGTAAAATGTTCTTCAAATGGCTGGAAAATGCAGTTTGAGTAGTTCATTAACTAAATTATCCAGGGGAGTATAACTCTGGACCTCCCCAGAACTACTTCACTCCACAGCTGCTCATTAACATGAACAGGTGTTCCTTGTTTCTGTCAGCAGATATGAGGTAGAATTTTTGGCATGCTGTTTGAAATTTATCATAAAGTTAACTATTTTAATTGGACAACCTGGTTTCTAAAGATAAAAAACAACATCAAAGACAAAACTATTTAATTTGGTATGTGAATGTTTGCAAACTGGCTGTGGAATTTAGAAATTTTCACTTCTGCTGCTCTGCCTCTCACCTGCAGTAGCACTTACCTGCCCCTGCTCTTCACCCAGCCAGTCACTCTGCCTCTGCTCCTTGTCCTGCCCTGGAAACTACAAACCTTTCCTCCGCTCCATGCCAGCGCTCCTGTAAGCATGCAGCCTCACCTGCACCTGTTCAGGGTGAGACTTATTGGTGTTTTTTACATTTTCATATTTCCTTTTTTAAAGCAAGACAACTGTTTTTGTCAGTCCAGCAGAAATGAACAAAAACAACATTTATCCAGACTTGTTACTGAAATAATATATTCAGCTGAATAGTGAAATAATCTTCATTTCATAACATGAAAAAAACACAACGTGTACAGATAAACAATAACTTTATCTAAAAATAAAACTACCATAGGATGTTGAACTGGTACATTGATGTTGAAATAAGCACATTATATATGTTACAGGAGGTCACCATAATTACAATTGTACACAAATGTTAATATACGTATTTACATGTATATAATAATGTGTTAAGACAAACATAGTGTAGATGACAATGAGTTGCAAAAGTATTCACTTCCAAAATTTTTTGTTTTGTTGCCATACAAGGTGGAACTAATTAAATTTATAATTGAATCGTAACTAATAATTTTACCAAAAAAATACTTCATATAATATAATATAAACAATATTTACATTTTTTGGGAAAATATCTTTAAATAATTCTAAAAGTTTATGAAGTGGTGTATGTATTCACCCCTTTTTGATTTGAAGTCCCAGTCATTACCTTCAGTGGCTACATAATTAGTTCAGTGAGATATGGTGAGCAAAGTGTTAAATTATTTCATCATTAACACCAGTACACACTGTTCTGATAGCCTCCAGAAGGTGCGGCTGTGGTGTAGTGGCAGAGCAGCTGGCTTGGGACACAAAAGTCACAAGTTCAACTCCCTGCCATGCCCACATGTCATGGTGTCCTTGAGCAAGACACCCAACCCCCAACTGCTCCCTGGGCGCATATGGCTGCCCACTGCTCCCAATGCAGAGCACAAATTTAGTCATTGCATGATGACCAATAAAGCACCTTTACCTTAGAATCAGCAACACTGCTAATTAAGAGCTGAAGAAAGTCATTCTGTTGAAAAGTGTCAGTTTGAAATACATGAGCCATTGGGAATGAAAACTACTGAAATAAAATTAAAATGCCTCAAAAATAATTTCTATTATTGGCAAAAAATCGTTGTGACATGTTTTGTTTATAAGCACCTTTATAAAGGAGAATAAACATTTTTCATAATAATGATCTTAGAATAATACATTCATTCAGTTATTTCACAATGACATTGCCATTTATCTACTATTTGATCATAAAGATACTTGTCTATAATGTTTATTTATTTACTTATTTATATAGTTATGAACATTTTAATGTTCCATAGCTCAAAGCTCAGACTTCAATCTAACTGTTAATCTCTGGTATATTATTTGACACAAGCAGCATCAATCTAACCTGAGGGATCTGGTTTGGTCATGAAAAAGGATAAAAATTCCAGATGAACATTTTGAGACGTATACATCTGATCATGTAAACTGCAAAAGGTACAAAGTATTGACTTTAGGGGATGACTTTGTACTGTGTCAGTGATGTGTGGTGATTAGYTGTTGAGGTACGGACTCCATCAGAATCAGATTTACAGATGTACAAACACTATGAAGTAGACCTGTCACCATTCAATTGGCAGAAGTTACTGAGTTGTGTTCTGCATTCTTAATACATACAAAAAACATTTCATTGAACAACATTGTTATTTACTGAATACTCAAAATTGTTTGAGTTCAATTAAATTTTTTAACAAAGAACTGGATTCATACAGTATTACTCTCAAACTTATTATAATTATTTTTTTCTTTTCATAATGGCAAGATGGGCTCTTCTTACCGCATGTCATTGTTAGATACCRTACATATCAACCATTTTTCAGGTTTATATGATTTTAGAATAGTTTAAAACTCATTTTTCCACATGATGATTTAATTTTCTTAAAGTAYTTTGTATAGATTTACCACTTACTAAATATAAAAGGTTAAAGGCAACAAATCTGAAAGATTCCAGGGGTTGAAAACCTTTGCACCGTAATGAGTTCCCCAACTCAATTTGAATTATTTATATTTTTAAACTTAAACATCTGAAAATGTGTAAAACACTGAGTGTTTGCTGAACCTCCATGGTCACATTAGTGTTAGAYGATACATTTTAAAAAGTAGTGTCAAAGATCTTTGAAAYATCACAGCCAGAAAGCAGAGGTCTWTAGTCAGGATWGATACTAAATGTATRTAGACAATATTGTGTAGTTGAATTGTGTTACATACTGGATTAATGTTTGCAGAAACAACAGGAACAATGTTCATCTTTTCTGACTTGAAAAAACTCAGATAATAAACAGTTTCAGAGCTTTATCATCTAAACTTTGATCTCCTCCTCTTCCTCTGATAAGGCGTACGATGTTTTGTGGTTTTTGTAAAAACCCGGAGAGGTCTTGTTGCCGACAGTCCTTGTTCCYTTTGTGAAGGACCCTCCACCATAATGACGAGCCAAAACATCAGCCGCCCTCTGGAACCTCTCTGCCTCCATCGCCGGTTCTTCTTTGTGAGGAGACCCAGAGGACACATCAGGTGTCCTCAGAGTCCTCCTGTCCTCTTGCTCTGTCCTGTTAGAGCTCCCTCTCCCATTCATGCCATGACTGAACGACTCGCTGAACGTGGAGGAGTCRGGTGAACTAACTGTAGGAGTCTGCACGAGCATCTCTGTCACAGAGATGTCGTCATCGATCTCCTCTTCTTCCTCTTCCTCACCTGCAGCCTGGCTGTGATTGAATATTAAAAGGGAGCTTGGGTTGTCGATCACACTGAACACCTCAGTCATAAGAGAAGGTCCAAGGTCCAGGGTGAACGAAGTGAGGGARTCTGAGCGAGTCCGAGTGTTGCCRTCATTGTCAAGTGAAGACAGTTTCCAAACGTCGTCGTCAGGAAACTGTCTTTCAAGTCGAGAGAGGCGAGGCAGAGTGACGAACCCTGACTGTACGCCTGGAAACAGAAAAAAAAAACACATTATCTTAACAGGGAAATATAAAAGAGGAAAAAAATATAGCTTTAATTCTCCAATTGTGAAACCAAACTGGTGATTTGATTCTACACTGATCAAAAATATAAACACAACACTTTTTTTTGCTCCCATTTTTCATGAGCTGAACACAAAGATCTAAGACTTTTTCTATGTACAAAATAGACCTTCTTCCTTCAAATGTTGTTCAGAAATTTGTGTAAATCTGTGTTAGGAGGCACTTCTCCTTTGCAGAGATGATCTATTCCATTTTGCCGGTGTGGCATATCAAGATGTTGATACAGCTTTTTGACATGTTTATTACACAGGTGTGCCTTAGGCTGCACGGTAAAAGGCCAAGAAGTGTGCTRTTTTATCACACAGCCACAGATGCTGCAAGTTTTGTAAGAGCATTGGTATGCTGACTGCAGGGATGTCAACAAGAACTGTTGCCTGGTGTTCAGATCTGGGGTTTTCTGACATACATAAGGTTTAGGAACTCTGTGTGTGTGTGTGTGTGTGTGTGTGTGTGTGTGTGTGTGTGTGTGTGTGTGTGTGTGTGT